CACACATTTTGTCTCTTGTCTGCGTATAACGCATATACACTTTGCACAGTTATATGGTCCATTTTCTATGAGGCTGAATGGGTTTAGTATGGTTTTGTCATTGGAAGGAGAAGGATGTTATTCTTTATGTAGCTCAATGGCTAGAACCGTGATACTGACATTATCACAAGTTAAAGGTAAAAGTAAAAGTCCCACCAGACCACCCACACTGGTTGTTCTGCGAGGCTCTTTGCATAACAGTGGACAGAAAGTTAGGTGTGCTGCTTTGACTGGAGTGAAAATGAGTTGTATATTGTATTTCGCCATTGTCCAATCAAGGCCATTTTTCCAGAAGGGTGCCAGCTATCATTATCTCGGAGGCAGTGGTAGCCTACTGCCTGGCTACAAGTTTTTATTTTAGCAGAGAACAACAGCAGCTGTTAACATTCATGAGTTGTATTTTCTGATTGAAGGTGGGCACATTATGTTTCTGGATTTCATCTGTAAACCATTTCACAATGTATAAGATAAGTGAATTAGTTACTTAACAGCAGCTGACAAGGTACAGAGCATTTAAAATTCCATAGTCTTTAGTGGAACTATTTGCTTGCAGGGAACAACTACCAAGTCTGAATGAAGCAAAGCTTCCAAGCTACGTCAAGCTGTCAACCTGAGCAAACCTTCTGTTTTGCCATCATGACATAAGTTTCAAACAATGCTTTATTAGCAACACTAGCTAAAAATGGCTCTAGGGATACTAGTTTCAGTCGACCCTTGACTTTTCCTCTAGTACCACATGCTTGACATTTGTGGTTTTGAGTGAAATGTCTCAGCAATGGATTGCCATTACACTTGGTACAGATATTCATGTCGTTAGCATTTAGCTCACATAGCTGCTAGCATGGCTGTAGACTCTCAAGCCCAAAATCCACTGACTCCGGCTTTGATCCGTCCTCAGCACGGCATCAACGTCCACTGGAAGCATCTCTGAAGCGTTTCAGCAGCAGAGCGTGCAGCCTGCCCCACGTTATTGACTTGTTCTACTACCTTCTTCACAGCTCCCTGTGACCCTTTTTTGTTCTGTCGTCTGCAGGGGTGCATATCCACAGGAACCATTTTGTTTATTATGATTAAGTAGGCTACGTAGTTAAATGGTTTCTTTTTTATGTCTGTTTTAACCATGGTTATTGTTGTTAAATAGTGAAAATTGAGCTGGTTCTCTATGCTATTCTGTGTCTGACTTCCTGCCAGGTTCCATCTGCTTTGTGCTGCTTGATGCGGCTTCCGTCAAAAATAGACTAGCTACCTATTCTCTGCAGAGTGGAGTGGAGAGCTGCGTCTGGGGCGCTTCTGGGACACGCTGCAGCCGCGTGTGGTGGACTCACAAGCATTGACTAAAATGACCACGATTTAGCTCCGGCATCTGCAGCACAGCTGTCACGCGATGCAGGCAGATTCAGTGGACTTTGTGGATCAGTGTTTCTGCTGCTGTTACGTCAAACACCCCATCCCGATTTTATTTTGTGGTAACCTATAGGGTAACCAACCCCATGTTCCACTCATTTCTCTTAGTGGTTTAATCAAACCAGAGCAAGAATTTGGACAATCTAAGACACCCTCTTAGAGTAAATTCAAGTCTAAGTCCCTTATGTCGTAATAAAATTTGAGTAGTGTCTGACCTACGTTCAACCCAAGTCAGGAAGAGGTTTCCCAATGTGGGTTTAACCCTCATCACTGTGTTGGTCTGAAAGTCATCACTGCCAATAAATAGTGTATGCTACCACAAGTCTTTGAAACAATTCTAGGCTATTTGGGGATTCTGAATTGTTAGCTTTTTATGTATTTTTCAGATCCATGCGGCAATTTCAGCCTCTTGTGCTTTCCGACATTCATTTTCTGGCAGATAATTTCAGAGGTCAGCTTCATCTTCCGACTGCATTGCAGGGAACAGCTTTTTTATTCCTCTTTTATTCTGTTTTTCCAATTGTTTATGTTTTATTCATACAGACAATCTTTTGGAGATTGGAAATGCTTTTCTTTCTCAGACAGGCCAAGTTTTCTGCTTTTTAGCAGACAAGGACCCAGGTGGTTTGACTTCTAAAGCCCGCGTAATGACGCTGCTCTGAAAGCGCTCACATGAATTCAGTTCAGGGTGTTATCTCTGGGCCTTTGCTAAATCGTTTCTGTGAAATCGGTGTTGTTCCGTTAGAAGCCAGTGGAACAAACCTGCGGCACGAGCCGATTCATTTCTGCAACACACAAGTTGTCCTTTGGTTCAGTCCACTTAAATTCTCAGCTATACTTGAAACCTTGAAAGGAAGCCTGTAGTGTGTCTTGACAATGTAACAGTGATCTCATTCTGCCTGATAGACATTAGATGGGTCAGCCAAGCGCAACTCTACCAGGACCACTGTGCCACAGAGGAGAAATCTAGGAGGTGAATCTTTCATAGAACAGAACTGAATCTGTTATTCTGGTATTTGAATAGAAATGTTGAAGGAAAGGTAGTTCTGGTCATCTGAGAGATTAACACCATATATTTAGTTTGTTTACCACAAATTGTAGATTTTACTCATGCATGCTAGGCTAAGCTAACTGGCTGGTAGCTGTAGCTTTATATTTAGCAGACTGTCATGGGAGTGAGATGAATCTTCTCATTTAACACGCAGCAAGAAAGTGAATGTGTTTTTTCCCGAAATGTTGAAATGTTTCTTCTGTTTGTGTGTGTTCCTGTGTTAAACAGTGACTCCATCTGTAGCTGTTGCGCAGTGGGGCCTTTTTATGGCTATGAACAACAAACATACAGCACAACGCTGCTACATGGATGCATCACAAATATAAACTTACATATGGGGGATGTTCATTGCTGCTGGGTGGTGGTGTCATGCTGTGTGTGTGTGTGTGTGTGGGAGATCAGGATCATCAGAGAACAGAGACAGAACTCAGACGAACTGACACATGTATACATATGTACACACTCCCACACACTTTATTTGGCGACATGATTAATCATGGCATCCTTGGGAGTGTTAGAGGAGGTTCAGAAGAAGCCATATCAGCTTCAAAAAGATTTTTTTCTTTCCCCCCAGCTGGTTTATTCGTCATTATCATCACAGGATTAATTCCTGTCTATCGCTTCTTTACTATTGCTGTCTTAGCGTCTTCCTCCCACCACCTCATCTCTCTGAGGTGAAGAAGAAGTAGCAGCCCTCATGTGGATACTGTAACAAATCCAGCATTACCACAATCCGCGTTGCTAACTGAGTCATCAGGTGACCGAACATTTTCCCAGGTTCACACTTCTGTTGCTGCTTCGCTTTGTTGTCATTCACGGGGTCTAAGTAATTGTAGATGAGCTGTGTAATTCCTCGTAGGACAGATAAAAACACTTAGATGTCTGTCAGCATGGAGCGACTACGCACAAGCCTATACACACACAGTCATACAGAGTAATGAGTACATGCCTTGGCCTAGAGGCGTAGAGGGCATCTGTGGCCATTTGGCCTTCATCTGGAAACATCAAGGACACACATGTACACAAACCTGGCCTGGCCAGTTATTCTGCCACCTCAAACAGTGGCAAGGTTATATGAAAGGCTATTATTTCTGGGCACATACACATAAACAGATGAAATGTGTGGTTCATAATAATATAGCTGCAAACCCACCCACAAGTCAACAGAAGGGTTGGCTTCAAACACGGAGCTGCCCTAGGTTTGACTGTAAATGAATTTAACCCAGTCTTACACACACAGGCCTGAATCATCAATTTCCATCTATGGTGGATTCATTATTCAATAGTCCAGCATGTGAAACCGCTGTCCCCACATAGCTCTGAATTTTAATATAAATTTGGGTCACATTTGTATTCTGGTGCTGTTTGATTATGTAGAGTGGCGGATTTGATGATTCAGGGCAATTTCACGGTACTGACATCGAGGTAGTATCAATGGATACATAAGAGTTTTTCAGGGGGATCTTCCTCGTCTTTGTTGTGCAGATTTCTGGAACAGGCCGATGTCTTTCTCATGCATGGACTGCAATTTATCCTCTTTTGTTGCCAGGTTTTTTGGGGGGGCTGGGTGTCTCTCTGGAGACGAAGCAGTGAGCAGCTAGACTTCCCTCCATGGAAACATCCTGCAGTACCCATTTTAAAAATAAAATCCCTTCAACTACATTTGAACATGCAAGCACACACACACGGGTACACATGATACAATGTATTGTATTACTACACTTATGAGGCAATGTCACCGATATGTTATAACCATAACCTTAACACAACCATAATCCAAATCTTAATCCAAATCCTAACCTTTTGTTTTGTGTGAAATGACGCCAGCTTTGCACAGAATGTCAAATTGGTTCTCCCAAAACTAAAGAAACTAATTCATACGGACAAATAGCACCTTCACACGCAGCAAACAACTCATTTTGCACCCCTCATTCAAAGTAAGGCTTGTTTGGCGTGCCATTTTAAGTGTGCAGTCATTTCAACTGTAGTGACACTGCATCACCGCCGCAGGGCCGACTCATACCCTCACCGTTCTATTAATGATGTCGTCTGTAATTGAAAATAAATTGAAAATCGTGGCTCCCTAATGAAAGTTCCCCAGCTTTACAAAATATGCGACAAGTGGAAGGCTCCTAAGTTTTCTTTCTTTCTTTCTTTCTTTCTTTTCTCCTCCAACATTAAGTGTTGATCACTAACCCTGTAAAGTCTTTGTAGACATGTTTTGGTCAGCCTTTGCTATGAGATGTTAATAGTTTATTAGTTTATTTAGTATATACTGTGCTTATTATTATTTGGGATACACGAGGGACAGAGGGGTCAGACATGGTGTGAATTATATGGCACTAAAAAGCATGATGCCTAGACATAGTAATATCAAGTAGAGACAAACTATATCAGGCCACTGAAAAAATTAAGCCTTAGCTTTATGCATGGTAATGCTTGGATTTGTGTAACTTTCCATTGATGCTCCACCTTCAGCCCTCTCACACCTCTCTCATCACCACAGGAGTGAAAGCTGTCTTCTCTGGCCATTATCACCGGAACGCCGGTGGTTGCCATGACGGCCTGGACATGGTCGTGAGCTCGGCGATCGGCTGCCAGCTCGGCGTGGACACCCACGGCATCAGGGTGGTGGTAGTGACTGCAGACGGTGTCATCCATCGCTACCACAGCCTAGAGCATCTGAAGGCGCGAGGCATGGATGAGGACCTCAGGAAGCTCCTGCAGGCTTGAGGGCCCAAGGAGGGAAAATCAGGAAAAACTCAGCTTGTCAACGGCTTGTTTTTTTTTTTGGTTTTTTTTGTGTCAATTGTTTTGTTTTGATTATACAGTTTTGAGCCCCTGTTCTTCTAAGCACACAAAAAGGAGACTGGCGCGTTGGTCAACTCATGCGTCAGCAGATAAGAATGTGAGATATTAATATTATTCATACTGTGTGTTCCAAGTAGATAATTTGCTCGATTATGATGAGCTAAGACTTAGGCTTCTGATCTGCCAGGGACCCAATCTCCCACAATTCTGTGTATTCATCAAAATGGAATAAAATAATTGTAAGATTAATATGGAGGCATGTTCGGTCAGAAACGAGAGGAATTTAAACCAACAAAGATGTGACTACATGCCGACACACGCATTATAAAGTGCCCAGAATCTTTTAAAATTAAGTTTGAAAAATGAGTTTATGTTTTCTCGCTACTGAATGTTTTCCTAGATGCATCTCCTGGCGGATGTTATTATCACTGGCCTAAATGTGGTCTAAAACTAGAGGTTCTTTTGTGGAGAAGCACATCCTACCGCACAGTCCTCCTGTATCAGAAAGAGACTGACACCCACTCTTTCTGTGCACTGTAAATGTTAAAGGTCAAGAAGATACACTATGGTAAAGCTACATGTCGTATGTGTCTCACTTTAAATGGATCCAATCTTTTCCAGCGTAAAAGGGAAGATTCCACCTTAAAACTTTCAAGGTGCATCTGGTTGTCTGGGGGTCCAGTTTTCCTCCTGTTTCTCTGCATATTACCGAGGTGACAATGCAAATTCATCAAAAAAGAGGAAGAGAAAGGAGTTCTTGTCCAACAGCAGACGGGAATGCGAGGCAGCCACAGGGTTTGTTTGCAAAATTCACTTTGGGAACGTTCTTTGAAGGCGGTTGAAAAGCATCATGAGAGATGTAGGAAATCACAAAGTTATTTAGATATAGATCTGACGGGTTGAGACAAATTGTGGGCGAATGACAATCTAACAATGTGAGCGTAACAAAGGGTGGAATTTTCTTTTTAATGGTCCTAAAATATCCAGCTGTCGTAGCTATTTCTTCTATGTTTGCTGTTGCTGCAGTCTAATACCTTGTTGGCTATCCTATGCAATCCATTCACTTCACCTGTGTGTGTGTGTGTGTGTGTGTGTGTGTGTGTGTGTGTGTGTGTGTGTGTGTGTGTGTGTGTGTGTTTTTTACTGTTTATCGTGGTACGTTGTTTGAATGACCTCGAACATGTAGCGTTAATTGCTGACCGATGACCAGTTTATAGCCCCTTACACTGCCCTTGCAGACTAAAGATAACTGTTCTGAGTAAAACTGAGAAGTGTGCGTGTCTAGCAGTAGTATTACATAGTCTTTGTATATAAGTGGACTTGGAAAATTTTTCTTAATCCATATTAATTATAACAGAAATGACAATCTTGTTTCTGACTAACACTGATTTTAATAAGTTAAAAGTTATAATCCTTAAGAATTGAGTTCTGGTTGATGAAGAAAATATTGTCACAGATGTTGCCCGTGTAATTTATTGATTGATTGACCTCCGTGACAAATACAAAGCCCAATAAAAGCCAGTTTACTTCTCTTTTAACGTGAAGGAGCTGCAGCAGTACGAAATGTTGGGTTTGCACTAGCAGTAACTTTATACAGTTATCAATCAGATAAAATTACAAACAGTAACACTGGATTATATACATGATTCATGTGAATGCCCAGTGAAGGGAATTTAAACACTAACAAGGAAAACTATTACATAAAGGAGTAATTACAGAGTTATTGCAGGAAATGGGACCATAAATAGTATCAATTGAAAATCCCAAGGATTATAACATAAATGTCTTTTTCCTTTGTTGCGCCGTATAACAGAGCTTACTCATGCCCAAATCCATTTCTCTTACACTACTCCAGTACAGATAAATTACTCCGATGTGTTGCAATATCCATTTGGTTTCTCCTAGTTACTTGTTTATTAAAGCGTAGATCAAACTGACTGCTTTTCCCTGCACTGTGATGTTTTTGTGATGAAAATATTTCATCATTGGATCCGAGTTTATATCAAAATGTATGATGCAACACTTCAAATTTAATCCCACCTAATTGGTTTAATCTGCCTTGCATCCTTGCTGTGAACCCTGCACACGCACACACACAGAAGTGCTCGGCGCATAAAATGAATAAATTGTGATTGTGGTGTTAAATGACAAACTATAAAGGACTGGTGTCAGGCGGTTAACACACAGTGATGTGATCTGTTAGTGATTAATGGTAGGAGGAGCACAGTATTCATAGACGGTGTTACAGTCTACTGGCTGCAGACTTATTTGGAAGCTCACAGTCCCGAAATTGTCTTTAAATTGGACGTTACTGCAGCAAAATCACTTTCTCTATGAGCCCTAAATGACTACTCGATTACACTTTCCACACACACACAGACTCTCACACTCATCCTGACCGATTGGGAATTTAAGATAGTTGTCATGGCAACCCCTTAGCAACACATCTGTGTGTCTCTGAGAGAGACTGCGAGTATTGGAGAGAACGTATAGAACGTACTCCTCCATCTGTGTGTGTGTCTCCGTGGTCTGGTGGTTACTGTAGGTGATTTTTTTCCATCAGCAATATGATCGCTGACCTCATTTCACACCGACGGGTTCTGTCTCTTTTCCAAAAAGTCAGCATGCGATGGAGGGAGGAGGGGGGTGAGAGGAATGGATAATGAGTGTGATGTGTGAAAGTCCATCTCCTTCATTTCCTGTTTGAGAAGGAACCTTATGTCCTTATCTATTTTTATATCCTTGTGGTAGCCGAGCTCAATCACATTGTTCTTTATCTTTTCTGTGTGTATGAATTTGTTTTAGAGCACATTTGCTCTATGAATTGGGGAACATCACACACTTTGACTCGTTCCCGTGTCAAATTCTAATGAATGACCTATACTGAACACCATGACTGTGACATGATTGGTTGTATTTTTATAATAAATGTTGATTTTATCTAATGATTGCAGGCTGTCATTGTGTTTATTATATTGTGTTAGCCATTTTTGGTGCACAAACAACTTTTAATGCAAACCTTTTGAACTTTATTACTCAGAAATCAGCACCCAGAAAACTACAGTTTAAGTTGAAGTCATAAAAACTGATTTTAACCACTCCACAGTTATCATGTGAACAAATTATAGTTTTGGCAAGTCTGTTAGGACATCTTCCAACAGTTGTTTACAGACAGATTATTTCACTTATTTCCACTATATCGCACTCCCAGCGGGTCAGAGGTTTTCATACACTGCATTTAAACAGCTGGGGATATTCCAGAAAATCATATCATGGCTTCTGATAAGCTTCTGATAGGTTAATTGACATAATTTAAGTCAACTGGAGGTACCTGTGGTTGTGTTTTGCCTACCTTCAAACACAAGCTTGACATGTGAAAGTCAAAAGAACTCCACCAGTCTGGTTCCTCCTTGGGAGCAATTTTCAAACGCCTGAAGGTACCAGGTTCATCTGTACAAACAACGGTATGCAAGTATAAACACCATGAGACCACACAGCAGTCTTACCACTCAGGAATGAGACGCGTTCTGTCTCCTAGAGATAAACCTACTTTGATGCAAAAAATGCAAATTAAACGCAGAACAACAGCAATGGACTTTGTGAAGCTGTTGGAGGAAACGGGTAACAAAGTAGGCGTATCTAAAGCCGGAACTGAAAAAACGTGTGCGAGCAAGGAGGCCTACGAAGCCGACTCTGTTACGTGAGTTCTGTCAGAAGGATTGGGTCAAACATCCAGCAAATTATTGTAGAAGCTTGTGAAAGTCTGCCTGAAATTTTTGACCCAAGTTACACTATTTTAACTATTTTTTAACCTGGCTCTTGGATACTTATAAATCACTGGGACTCTATGATAGACTACTATAGTAGGCTATCACCATATTTTGCAACACTTTTATTACTTACTTATTACTATGCAAGTGTGACCTTCCAACAGTACAAGCCTCTTGCCTGTACCACACTGGCTGGAAACCAGTGACTTAGCTGGGACTCTCCACAGACAACTTCCTCAAACCTCTACAGAAAATTGTGAATATGGAAAGAAATGGACTGTGTGGCCATCCTGCTTTACCGTGGACTGAAAACAGTGGACAACAAGAGAATGCTAACAAACAGCTAATTAGCAACAAGATTACTAAGAAACAGGAGGGCTGTCAAGCAATGATTCTGAAAGTAGTAGCCCCAATCACTCTGTGTTTTTGGGCTATATGGCTTACTGTCTCCTGTCTGTGTCTGTTTGTTTTAGTATTCATGTGACACAGTTTGTGTGTAGCCTCGTCAGAAAGCAGAAACATGTTTGGCTCCAAAAAACGCCTCCTCAATTCTGTTTGCTAAATGGGAGTTTATGCTTCTGACATGCATCCATCCTTTCAAGTTTAGTCTCTCTTTGAACCTTTGTCCGTCAAGAGAGGCACAGATCTTGAGGAGATGTATCACCAGGTTTGCAGAACAAACTAGACAACGCAAAACACACCAAACCACTCAACACACTCATCTTCAACTAAATCCAACTTACACTCCACATATTGGATTCATATTTTTTCACTCTCTATGTGTTAAATTAGAGGTCAGCTGACTCCAGCACTGCCGGAGGTGAGTGAGCTAGTGGGGATTGCTTGCTTGAGGACTGTACAGTTGAAGAAATGGACACACCAGCAGAGATTGACTGCTTACTGGACAGTAACTCATTCACACACCCACACACACCAGGGCACATATACATTTAGAGCTTTTCATCTCTGAAATTGAGGTTTAGCCCCCTAACTGCTGAAAAATTGCGGCGATTTGCAAAAATCACCATCCCTGTCATTTCTTTGAAAGAACATGAGAGCTCATTTTAGGGATTGTGGACAAATGGTTGATGCTGAATAAAAATGTCCTCGCAAGATGGCAGCTTTCCGGACAGGCTTGAGGTCAGAGACATGGCCTTTGCACTCTGCTCCTGCAGGAGATTTATTCTGCTGTGACAGATGAAAGCTAGTTCCTGTTTATTGATCCAAAGCGCTGTCGCAGTGTCCCCCAGTGCTTGCACACGTAAAAATACAGACATATACACATACAGAAGTAGAAACACATTACACACATAAAAGGCACCAACATCTCTCTGTAACACTTATATTAGTTGCCAGGGTGAAAAATTCACAATCCTGATGTTTCTTCAGTGTTTTTATCACACAAGTGCACACTTCAAGTACATGTGGGGGGCTCTGGTCATAGGTCACCTGCTTTTGAAGGTACATGAGAGCACTATGTACAGCTTGATAGCATGAGGGGGATGTAAACATTTCAGAAGTGAGCAGGGTAAATCACCAGAGACATAAAAAGAGCTTATTTCATGTTCGTTTTGGTTCCTAATGGATTCCAAGAAGTTCATCATTACACGGTGGCAAGATCAATTTGGCTGTCAGCTATTTTTGGCTGCATGTTGTTGGCTGTGTGAGCGGGTATCTGAGGAAACCTATACAAGACATACTGGTGAAGCAACCAGTTTAAAAAGGCAAAGAGCGCTACGAAACACTCCGCTATTCATCCAAGGTTCATCAAAGTTTTTAAACTCAAACTAGTGACAGTTGAGGCAGTTAAATTACATGCTCCATGAGTTAGGGCTCTATTCCTTTTGCTGGAATAGAGAAACTAATTTCACAACACAAATCTTCTGCAGTATAATGCCCCAGGACTTAAATCCACTTTTGTTCAGTTAACTCAAATTACTTCATGCTGGAGTCTAGGCAAATTTATATGTACAGCACCTTTCAACAATACAGCAAGTGCTTTACATGAGACATAATAGACATTAAGAAAAGAAACACAAGGCAATAAAAACACAATATTAAAAGACAGATTTAAATTGTTTTTAAAATAGTAAAATAAAATAGAAGATTAAAATAAGCTTAAATAGAATAAAACGAGAAAATAAAAATTACAGTGCAGTGCAAGAAATGAATTATTAGTCTCAAATTTAATTTAATAAAATGAGGAGGCAAACAAAAAAGATTTAAAAGAATTGAGAGTTGGAGCAGACCTGCAGTTTTCTGGGAGTTTGTTCCAGGTGTGGTGCATAAAAATTTAATTTTGCTTCTCTGGGGACAGAAAGTACCGACCTGCCCCAGACCATCTGAGAGGTCCAGACTGTTCATAATGGCGCAGCACATTAGAAGTGTCTCTTGGCCCTAAACAATTCAGTGCTTTATAAACCAACATAAGTATATTAAAATCAATTATTTGACATACAATATGCCAGTGTAATAATAAGATAACTTGAATGTAACTGCATGGCTCATAAATACCATTTGAACCAGCTGTGGTGAAGCAGGGTTGGACAGAAAACATGCTGGACAGGGGTTGTGTGTTCTGATAGGGGTCTGATAGATATTAACAGGTCTGATTGGACAAAATCTAAATCTGCTGGCTAAACTGTCCAGTGTTAGGTTATGGTAGATTCATGGTGAGTAAACCCTATGTGTGATTTTTATAATCACCATTTCAGTTGCTGGAAATGGTCAATCAATCACTGATACAGGCTTCTTTTTAAAAAGACAAAAAATGATGTAGCAAAACCGTAACTTTGCTCTCCTTAAATGGGCTTTATATAGTTTTCCGCAACCATGTACTTGTACGCATACTCGAACTGGAAACTCAGGTAAACTCCCACGGCAACGCTACAGTAATATTTTTCATCAGCTCACCGTTGAGCTAATCCATGCTGGTGACATGATAATGTTACACTGACTGCATTTACCTGATGATACACCATCACACATATAGCCGCTTTTCAAGTATTTTTCACCAGAGAGGGTCAGCACAGCTAAATGTATTGGATGATAACAAAAGCGGTTTGTGGGCTGGACTGAACATTACAAATGAGATTGTTGTCACACTTTGTAACAGTTAGACCGCAGTAATTAACGTTACTGTAGTGAATGGGTCTTCCACTGTGTTGTTGTCCTGCACCATTATGTTGCATTATTGTATATTATGTGCGTCACGTTAGTTATTGCGGCTGAGACGGTGGAGAAGCTGTGTACCTGAGTGTCGGTTGAACAACAATAAATCTAAATTGAAGTGGCGGATTCGTGCTAACATTAGATTTAACCGTTACATCGTTTCTTGCAGGCTGAAATGAACAGTTTGACATACTGGTGGTAGTAATATAGGTCGCGTTAGCTGGTGAAGTAATGTGGTAACGTTAGCTCGCCGGCTAACGCCGACCAGTTGCTAACGTTATCCGGTACAAATCTATCTATCTAACTTGAGCCAACTAAAGCACAAATCACAATATATTTCACATGCTTTACAGTAATTTGGTTTAGTTAGTTTACGTGTCCAGTAGGATGAAAGCCAAGTCTGTGTCGGTTTTGCTGGTTCCAAAACAAAGCGAACTCAAGCCTTTCTCAAGTCAACCTGATTCTCGTTTGGCCTGACCGGCTCCAACATATAATTCTTTGTTGTTGGTTTTCATTATCTTATGTGGAGTTTGTGTTGCAGTCTGGGTTGTGCTGAGGGATGGTCGTTTTCTGGTTTTAGTGGACTCCATGTGGTTAGCTGCGGTGTTGTTGCTGTTTGTACAGTTCAGATTCAATAGGCGAGAGGACTGGGAGCGTGCATACATGTCACAGCCAAAGGATCTTTCAAATTAATCCTACCCAGAGTAGAGACTGACAGTCAGAGGTAACAGAAAAACCCAGCCAGTGGATTGTTATTATGTGAGGGTACAACCCCTTCACACAAAGGCATTACAAAAGTTATTTATTTCATTAAAAGAAAAATACATATAGCCCCTTAAATTGAATAATTGGGATACATTTGCTCCACTTGCCTCATTGCTCAGGCACCTAGGCCTGCTGATGCCCGATAATGGAGCCCTGTGGAAAGCCACGTCATTTCTGGATTCTCAGATGTGTAATTACTGATGGACATCAGTAGAAGTTGCACAGTTTATCTAGTCGGTCAG